TTTTTCTGCATGGATGTAATTTTAATATACTATCCTTTATTTTTATTTGGTTTCGTTTGTAATCGCAGGCTGCTGTTTGTTTTTTAAGGAAATCTATTCCTAAAATTCCTTCATGCTCTATTGCTATGTCATCCTTTAGGACATAAAATGCATGCTTGATAGCACGTTTGTTGAGTATAATTGTCGCGTACATTTTCCCTAGTGTGTATAATTTATGTCCACTGATTCCTGTGAGTGCAATTTTCTTTTCGTATACAGATGTATCGTCCTTTAAATTTTTCAATTTAATTAGGGAAATTGTTGATCCGGAATCGTACAGCATATTTATCGTTTCGCCTTTTACTTCACGGATTGGTAGTGATACCTGCAGTAGCTCGTCTTTGGCTGTGTGCGTGTTTTTTATATGCGTCACGCAATACTCTAAGGCAGGTCGCGGTTGTTTCCTTCTCGCTTCCTCCTCTTCTTCTTTTTCGCTATCACTTGAGGAGTCGGTGCTCTTTTTTCTCTGTCTATGCGGAGTCCTTTGTTCACGCTCGCTTTCTTTATGTTTTATTTGATTAACCGGCTTAGAATTATGAATATTATTAGTGTTATTTATTTTAGGACGTCCGTTCAGGCTCCAGCATTCCTCGCGGGTGTGTCCTGTCTTTTTACAATATTTGCAAAATTTATTCAAAGTATTTATTCGCGTGGATTTTTCCGGTTTTGGTAATGTATATTTATTACTGCTTCGACAATCGCGTCCGTAGTGTCCAGATTTTCCGCATTTATAACATTGTATGTTAGTATTTCGAGTTGGTCGCGTTTTAACGTCGAATTTATTTTTATAGGAGAAGCCGGATGCTCGTGTTACAGACGGGCCGATAAGCTTCTCCTCCGCACTCGCGCCATTTATCGCTTCTTGGAGCGAAGTATATCTTTGTGATCGCACAAGAATTTTTAATTCATCGCGTAATCCGATTTGAAAATTTATTAGTGCTTGTTTTTTAATAGTTTCTTGTATTGCTTGCTTAAATGAAGGAGGCCGTTCTTCTCCTTCCACCATGGACTCATATAGTTTCATGGCTAACATATCGACACGTTGGCCGAATGCATGGGCGGTTTCGCTTGACTTTTGGTTTAAAGAATTAAATTCTATCTGTAAGTGTGTTGTACTTTGCTTCGCTTGATAGCAAGTTTCGAGTTGTGTTTTTAATTCTTCAAATGTCTGGATATCTCGCGTTTCGAAATCTTGCATGGCTTTACCTCTTAATTTAGTATATAAGATTGCTTGTATTAACGATTCTTCGTCCGCGGGATTAATATTTTGTACCGCGTACGTACAAGCGTTTAAAAATTCCTGTAATCTATGTCGCGTCGTCCCATCAAACTCGGGAATCATTGTTCGCGCTTCTTTTAATGATACATAGTGCGGGGCTGCGCTACGTCGGTTTCGTATATCGCATTGAGTGCGTCCGTACGTTACGTCGAGTGGGACAGTGTTTGCATTTACTCGCGTTTCGTTTAAATTTGCTTGTGCGGTTTGTATCTCTCGCATTTGTTCGCGCATGTACTGCATTTCGGTTTGCATTTCGCGGAAACTGTGTACGAGTTCGGCGAGTAATACGTTACTCGTTCCTTCGGCCGGCTGACCTGCGTCCTCATAGGCCGCGGCTGCGTTTAGTTCGGCCTGTTGCGCTCGCATGTGCTCGATTTCTCTATCGACGGCTTCGTTTTCCATATTCACTTGCGCACGTGGCTCGAATAAACAAATATCAACTGATATCGGTGAATAATTTCTTCGTACTGTAACGCGACTTGATCCGTCTTGTACCGAATTATCGTTATTACTCGGTTCGTGTTCCTCGGACGAATTAGAAACTCGAATAATGTTTTTCTAAATTTTTTCGCACGCTTCTACGAATATCGCGAGCAGCTTCTTCTGCTACTCGTATCGGAGTTACAGTTCCGAATCTATTTGCCAATCGGGCTGGCACGCTCAGAAATCGCGGACTCTTAAATTTTACTTGTTTTGACGGTGCTGACATTTAAATAAAGTTCGACTTACAGTAGTAGTACGGTGATTCGCATGGTCGTAACTTATCGGGTCGCTTATCGTATCGCTCGACTGTTGATGCTGGTGGGTCGTTGTCCCGCGTTGGTGCGCTGTCCGTCGGCGATGCGTTGTCCGTCTGCGTTGCGTTGCCTTGGCCGTGGATCGACGTTGGTCCTTGAGCGCTGGTGTTTCCTTTCGGCTTTCAGCTGCTTGGCCGTGATTTCCTTATCACTGTCGTCCGTGTGTGTTGCGTGTTGGTTGAGACTATCTGCTTTAATATAGCAGTTGCTCTTTCCAGTTTATTAATTTTGTATTTTCTTTTTGTTGCAGGCGTTAAGGATCCAGGATGGTCCTCGATCTCGGCTATCCCACCGCTGCCACCAGAAATGTTGTGCCGGACGCGGCACAGGGTGTGGGGTAGCCGGGAATTTCAAGTTAATTCCTGGATTTTTTTGTGCAACTTTTATTATAAATTTCTTTTATACAAATATATTCATTTATTCGACATTAGTCAGTTTCTTTCGAGCCCTCTCTTCGTCGTCCTTTTCTAAATCGCTTCGTTCTCAGATTTAGGGTGTTATCAATTTCGTCGGATGTTTCGTCGTACTATATAATGGTTAGCCCTCGGACTCGCACTAGTTGTTTGATTTATAATTAACGACTGTCCGCCGCGGATTCGCGGTGGACGGTTTTTATTTCCTCGGTTTCGGGGGTGTTTTGGAGGGGATCGCCTAGCGACATGACCATATGGTCATGGGGATTCTTCGTGGCGTTCAAAGTCCAAATGCAAGCGAAGGAGGTTCAAAGTCGAATCCCTTCGTTAGCGTCTTTCGCGTTTCCGGCGAGCGTTCTCGCGCGTGGTTTGCTGAGATGGCGATTTTGCACGGTTCGCGAATGTTCTATTATATATTCTATTATAATGGTATAATAAGTTATAGTCTCTCGGACTATAACAAAGGTAAAACTATTGAAACAGCAAGTTGGTTCAATTTGTCCTTAAACTTTAAAAAGATGATGACATCTGTCAAGTCTAAAATAAAATCTAGTGTTCTTGTTTAGTTGACTTTAAATTTTAAAGAGACGTGATTGTAACGCTTAAAACGAATAAATTCAAAATAAAATCCAACCTTCTTGAACAATAGAAAAGTTCTAAATAATATACAATCGTCAAAGACAAGGTTCGTTCAATATGAAACATATAAATATAACTGCAATTTTTTAATTAATTTATCTTTTGTATATATATATATATATATATATATAATTTGAAAAGAAGTAATTAAATATAAAATACACACATATACACAAAAATAAGTCTTTTCTTATAATCTATTCTATTTCTTTTGTATTTTTTATACAGTCATAAAAATACTAATTCATTAAATTTAGCCCCGAATAGAATATGTATTTTTCACATATATCATACATAGACAATAAAATGTTTGTGTAATACGTGAATTCAAAATTTAAACAGTTTATAATTTAAGAATTCATTTGGGAATCTATGTATGTTTGTACATTAACATTTTCTTATTAATACAATTTGTAGAAAACATTAGCAAAATATGAACAAATATTTTAAATTTATATCCAATATATTTGCCAACATAAATGCCTGAAATATATATAATTTACAAATTACTACAAATATTGATGTCTTGCTTCAAGGAATTTTCATACAATTTAGATTATAATTGACATTGATTAACTTGATATAAAAAATTTTAATTTTATAAATTTTTTTATTATATGCATATCTATTATCTTAATATTTAATAGCACCTAAATCATATATTGTCATACTATCAATGTTAAATAGGTAGCGAATTAATAATGATTAAATATGTACTTTTAGAACAATTTCCCATTTATAATCGATTATACCTTGTTTTTTCGCTGTACTTTGTCATTTATACTCCCTTTAAATTTCATTACAAAATTTTCCAATATATTGAGAGTCATGCTGTAAACAGTATGTGTTTAATATATAATAATAAAGTATAGTGCCTTTATTTAAGTTATACAATATTCTTGCATTTCTGTCAAAAGTTTTAATATTAAGAGTTTTTACATTATAATTTTTTATCACATATTTAACTATGTAATCATTTTTTATTTGCAATAATATGATTTATTTCTATTTTAAAATCATACTTGATCTCTGTTGTCATTACTTTATCTACTTCTATTTTAAGATCATATAATATTTATCACTCGCAAAAATAAATATTTTTAGGAAGTTTTATATTTTATATTAAAACATATGATTATATCAGAATTTTTTCCTATATTGAAGAACATGCATGTATATACAAATACACAAGATAAAATATACAAAAATATATTAGAAAATATATTAGAAAAATACAATAATTAAGGAAAAAAAGAATAAAAGCTACAAAACGTTTATATTGCATAATTAATTTTATTGAAACTCTTAGAATCTTGAAAGAAATTTAAAAATTGTAGGAAATGCAAAAAATTCGAATGATATAATTCTCAATATGCTATATAATAATTTTATTATCATTAACTATATTGCAATCATTACTTTAATCTAATTTCTATTCTTAAAATTATCTTCTTTTATTTTAACATATAATTCGATATAATTTTTAATATTAGATTAAATTACAAGAATTATGTAATTATTACATATTCTCATTTTTACAATTAATTCTAAAAATATAAATATAAATAGCAAATTACAGCAACAATATAATATATAGCATACAATATATATAGCATAATATCATTTTATTTTAATTTTTAATTCGTAAATAATAACTTTATAAAAAATGAATTATTTTTATTAAAAATAATTCAATTGCACTCTAATTAATTTTGTTATATGATCTGTCAGTAACTTCAAAGCATTTTTATAATGTTCTTAGTGAACATTAAGAAATGCTATTCTATCAAATTTAAAAAATTGATACAAATATTAATATTATTAATCCTAAAAATCTGACGAATCCGTTGAGGATAAATGTTTACATTTTAATTGAGTTGTTAATTGAGTTTATTTTAATTGAATGGTCTGTTGCTGAATTCCGAAAAAAAAATATTTATCTTTGTTAACCAATTTTACGGCTTTTATGTAATACACTTTGTCGTAGAGAATGATCATTTCTCATTACGACATTCCTTATGAGCTCTTCGGACGGTTGCTTAAGATCGTATGCCCAACCAATTTTTGCGCAGAAATCAATAAACATCGTAGTAAAATTTAAACTGTAATTGCCTAATTCGGCCGTCTTATAATCCCATGGAAACACGTGATGATAATTGTGCCAGCCTTCACCGAACGCTACAAAGGCAACGTATTTGTTTTCCGACGGATTTATGGACCTGTTTTTAAAATGCATACGATAAAATTACTTGTGCAATAAAGAGACACTGAAGCTTCTTTCAGTCAAGTTTATATAAACGCATTTGTGTAATTTCTATCTGCTTACATATCATATGGCTTTGAACCCCAAAGGTGAGCCACGCTGTTGACACTCCATATACAATTTAAACCGTAAACATAATGTATAATCTGTGCCATAAAAGCTCTGGACCAAGTTTCATTCCATCCGTAAACAGGCACCATTATATTAGGTACTAGAAAGGCAAAGATGAAGCTTAATATCGAGAAATATCTGCAAAGAAACATAAATTAATTAGTACACATATACAATTTCTCGTTATATGAAATCGTATGTTAAATGATCTTGTAAAAAAACTCCTGAAAAGAAAGAAGATTAACACGAAAGTGTAAAATTTAGAAAAAGGAATTGCTAAAATATTGTATTTAAAATAATAAATGCATTTTCAAAATGAATTATATGTATAAATATAAATAAATTTCACACACATCTTATATTCTTTTTCGTTTCTTAGATAATTATTTTAACATAATATAACATAATTAATATTTTTAAGACATGGACTTACTTGTAACCAAACATGACGACAGGATCTGCCAATATATCTCTCATATCGATTTGACGACCCTTTCGAATCACATCTGGATGTTTCTTCAACATCAACCAGCCAACGTGAGAGAAGAAAAATCCTCTATTACTATTATGCGGATCCGCATCCGTATCCGTGTATTTATGATGCACTCTATGATCTCGAACCCAGTCAAAAAGATTATTCTATAAAAAATTATTACAAAGAAAATTTTTCCCCTCTAGCTCAAAAAATCAATTCAAAACTTGTTTACCTGGCCGGCCGAAACATAGCAAATCAAAAGTATAATTCTAAGCGGCCATTTTGCTTTGTAAGCTCGATGAGTCCAAAGACGATGAGCACCGGCAGTAATGCCTATCCCTCCTATCACAATTAGAATGAGCACTTGAGGCAAAAAGAATCAAATTAATTAATATATTTATAAAATTATACATAATTAATAATATAATTATACGTATTTTGTACGGATGTCATGTACTGATTGATCTACAATAAGTCCATTATAAAACGCTACTATAAATTATAACGATTTTAATTAAATTTAAGATATTAAATTTTTACAAAAAATTATATAAAGATTAAAATCTATCTTTGATTATACAATCAAATTTAACATTTTTAACTTGGATATCTTCAAAATGGAATCAAATATGTATGTTTGTTCACAATGTGTTTGTGGTAATTGATATAAGTGACTGACGCAATGTCTGTAATGAAATCAAAGTTATACAATAGAAATGAAAGCTCTGGCTTGTCTGCTGTCAAATTTTTATCATGCTTCTCTTTTATCACGTACGTCTAATCGATTTGCTTTCAGTCAGTTAATGTCGACTTACTTTCAATCAGTTAATGTCGATTTCTGTAGTTAATAACTACGGCTTTCTTAGTAAACATGCGATACACATTCAATGAAATTATTATATATGTGAAAAGTTTACATATATTTGTAAAAGAGTATTTAAAAAAATAATCAGTCTTATATATATTGAAAAAAGGATAAATTTCATCTTTTTATTTAAATATTTTTTCCTATAAGTTAAAAATTCGAATTAATAGAAGTTGTAATCTTCCAAAGAATACTCACTCCAAATGTTTGTCCTGAAATCTTTGCACCATTCAAAAGTGAAACAAGCATACAACATGCTGATATGAAGGAAAATAATAAATATGGCATTAAACCACTTCACTTCAGTCTTGAATTTAAACAATCCTTCAGATTTTATACATGTTTCGTCTCGGTTTTGCATATCATCCGTGATGATTGAAGATTCCTCTTTTTCTTCGCAAAAATTTTTCTCCGCTTGCATTTCAGGATTCGAGGTATTGGGTGCCATCTCGTTTATGAAAATCACTGACTCGGTAATTCAAAATCCTAAAAAAATTACCTTTTCAAAAAAAGATAAAAAAAAGAAGTCGAGTCATCTCAGTAGTAAAACATTATTATATAGAACTACTTTACAAAAAATTATTTTAATAAAAAATTGCTGTATTAAAAAATTGTGTAAAATAGTTGTCATAACTATCTATAAAAATTAATGATATATTTAAATACAAAATTACGTCGAGAATAAAAGAGTGCGATTTTATTTTATGTTTATCAACAGTGTGTGTGTGTGTGTGTGTGTGTGTGTGTGCGCGTGTGTGTGTGTGTCTCTCTCTCTCTGTGTCTGTGTGTGTGTGTTTGTGTGTGTGTGTTAGATATGATTGACTGCTGATAAATAATTAGATGAAGAAAAATTATGTTTATATTTTCGTCGAAAGTTATTACATCTTTGTCGTAAAAGTCAGAATCCCGATTTCTTCAACGATAAACAGTTGATTCACGTAGCTCGTAATTTAAAAAATTTTAATTATTAAAAAACTCGACGCTGCCAAATTTATTTATATATTATTCAGCAGGAATAAATTTCGTGTACCAATTTTTTTTATGTGAGGGATTACTGCCCAGGTAGCAAGCACACGTCATTTTGACGTTCCAAACTAGTCATTTTTGGTCATATGTCGTCAAAATGACTGATTATTGTTACATAACTTTATATTGACGTCTTGCAATAACATTATTTTGACGTCATTTTTCAGTCATGAAGTGACGATTATTTTATTATGAATGTCATTAGTTAGTACATCGATCCCATAAAAAAAATCTTTTAAAATTTTTTATATGACATGACTTATTTCGCGATCAAACTTTATATATATATATATATATATATATATATATATATATATATATACATATATATATAAGCGTGTGTCAAAAGTTCCGGGACGGCTGGATAATTTGAAAAATACGCATCACAGAGGAAAATGACTTAGACAAAAGTTGTAGGATTTTTCCCGGGCAATCCGACGATGACCTTAGATTTGACCTTGGATAGTCATTTGAAGGTCACATAAAGATTACGTTCAATTTCTTAAATGGAACCCCCTATTTTTCATTGCATATTCTTGTAGCTTATCTCGAGAGCTTTCCAAAACACTATAATTAAGTACCTTTTTATTAAGTACTTTTTGAGTTATAAGGCTTGAAATAATTTCTTAATTTTACATAAACCATAAAATATCTAGTAAACCATTCATTTTTCGATTATCTTACCTTCATACTTTTATGTACAAAATAATGAGAGGAATCAATTGGTGTAAAGAAAACATACAGTTGTTTTTAAGAAAAAATATGGAATTGTTAATTGCAAATTAACCACAAGCCGATTAGCTTGTCTAACGGTAGTGGGTCTACGGACAATATTATAATGAATTTACACGAGGCTTTACGAAAATCCAAATATTCGACCATCACGACAAAATCTAACGTTCACAAAAGGTCGAAACTCGAATTGCGCGGACTTAGTATAAAAAAATACAATATAACAAGTTTATTCAATAAAAAAAAGAAAATAAAATAGAAGAACAATTTAACAAGAATTTCTATCATCTAATCCTATTTGTTTCGAATGATTAATAGTTATTATTTCTTAGATTTATTCGAAAATACAATAAATATATGTATAAATTAAAGTTGTGATTCTTATAATTATAATACATAACACAATTATATTATCATTAGCATCGCACAGATTTAGTTTAGCATAAATAAAATTATATTTATTATATTGATTTGGTTATATTAAGTTACTAATGTTTAAACATTACTTTTTAAAGAAAATAAATTTGAATAAATCAACAAATTTATAATAAAATAAATGTTGTTTTATTTATATTTATTACATAGGGACCTGCTAAAGTTGATTAAATTTTAAGTTAAAAGTTTGATATTTTGTATAGCAAGAATAACAAGAAAAATTATAATACCTCAACAATAAGACATTCAACAACAAGAATGATTTAATATAACTTTATGCACTATATTTATATATTAAGACATTTCTGTGTATTTTATATACACAATTAAATTTTTTTTTCTTATTGAATAAATAAATAGCGAATAGAGAAAAAGAGAAAGAGAGAAAGAAAGAGAGAGAGAGGGAGAGAGAAGTTTCAATTTTAATTTCAATCTATTTTTAGCTTAATGGACTTATATCAATAAAATTTTTTTTGTGCAATAAATATTATGTGCATCACAAAAATATGCATGCAATTTAAGCGTCACATTCTCTATTAAAATTAGTACGTAGCGTAACGATAGTTTACAAGAAAACAAAAATATCATAAAGTTAGCGAATTATTCGAATAGATAAATTAATACACGCATGTATAGTCGAATAGATAAATTAATGCACGCATGTATAGTCTCATTAATAAACGAACAAACATTAACATGATTAAAATACACCATTATTCATACACATTCATGTATTAATGTTTAAAATAAATTAATTAAATTAAAGCAAATAAAAATAATAAAACTAAAAAAAAATATGTGTATGTGTGTGTAAATGTGTGTGTGTGTGTAAAACGTGTCATGGAATAAAAATAAAAATTATTTGATATAACTATTCTTATTTAAACGAAAAGTTTATAAGAAGGTATAATATAGGACAATAAAAAATTATAGATAATATAGGACAATATAAAAATTAAACTTAGAAATATTTATAAGTAGAGATTTTGAAAATACTCTATCGTTTGATTTATGATGGTTAGATACTTCTTTTGTTCTTTTTCTACATTTCAAGATTTATTACCATATTATTGCAGTATTCAAATTATAAAGAAAACATCCTAATATGTTGTATACAAATAAAAATATGTCGAAAAGAAATAAAAAGTCTGATATTTATATTTTAATCTATCAATGGAAATTGAATGCAAGTGACAAAGTATGTTAAAATGCGTCAATTTTTCGATTAAAAATTTCAAAATCTGTCAGCAAGATTAACATCTTTTTTATCAGTATATTTGCACGTCGGCAAAAAATAATTCAAAAATTGATTTGAAACTAGTTTTGTTTTAAAATAACGATAAAAACATATCTTTGTTTTAAAATAACGATAAAAAATATAGCTGAGAATGACATTGGATACCTGTTGATGATATTTTAGACATTCGATTTAATTTCCTTCGATCGGGATTACGAGTAATCCTATGATGTTTTGTTCTATTCTATCTGCGTTTATATTATATTTTACGAATGGATCGCGCGTATTCCGTGCTCGTGAATGTACTGAGGTTTAGCGTAATCGGTGTTGAATATTATACTGCAGTTGCTACTAATAAATTATTCCAGCCGTATGACTATCTTATTTTTTCTAAAAATTGCGTCATTTAATACTAAATGAAGCAATTTGTAAAAGAAAAAAAATTTATAATATGCAAGATAACGATTACATAATGTATTAATTAACATTCATAAACTACAAGATATTAGATTTAATACGTATTATATTTATTATGTAATTGTAAATTAAAAACTTTAAAAAATAAGGATTATATAATATGTCTCTGATTTTATATATTCTACTCGTAGATTTGGGATAGACGAATAATATTTTATATATATTCTTGATGATAAATTGTTAATTGCGTTAGGCTACATTCTCTTTTTGAAAGAATCCAGCAAATATCGATTTTCTCCTACTCTCACTCTTTTTTTAATATAAGTTATGAGTTAATAGACCTGCATCGTTCTTAGATTTTCATGAAATAAAGCAAAAACATTATACAATATCGTATAGTTGATATAACTGAAATGTGGAATGTATGAATTTTTGTGATCTTAACAAACAAAATACTAATAATTTTTACGAAAAAAATTACTTAAAAAAATTAATACATTTTACGAAAAACTTTACTTACAAAAATGTTAACTACTTAAATATAATATTTAAATTTTTGAACTTTGAATTTTTTCATACTTTTTAAATATATTATAATATAAACAAAGTTTATATTATAATATAAAAAGTTTCATTAAAATAAATATAAAAATATAAAAATTTTAAATATTAACAGCTGAAATAGTCGTTTAGTGTCATAAATAAATAAGATAAAAAGGAAATAAATAACAGAAAAAGAATAAAAAAAGGAAGAGTAAAATTATATTATATTTTACTATTAAATCTCTCTATTTTCTTACTAAAAAACGGGGCAAATTCTATTTAATATTATCTTATTCCATTTTTTTATAGCAAATATATAAATAAATAAAAATAAATAAAATATTTTAATATCTCATAAAAAATTTTTTTTTGAATATATCAATATATTATTATTTATCAGAATATTTATCAAAGATATTTAAAGAATAATGAAAGAAAAGAAGTAAAATATCCAAAGCATACTTGTAAAGCAAAAACTTAATAAAATGCATATATCGACGTTGAAATAATTAGAATCTGAAATGCTTTTTAATTGTATAATTAATTTTAAAAGAATTTTGAAAATTTTGAAAATTTTCCAATCTCATTATACTAAGTTTTTGCATAAACAATAAAGCTATATATATACTTTTTTATAAATTACACTATATATATAATAATAATTCCATCATATGTCAAGAAGTTAATATAAAGTAAGTAGATACCACATAAAAAGATAGATACGAATATGTTTTTAAATAAAGACTTACCTCTTTTGAAGAGAATTCCACATATGATTCCACCAAGAAACTTTGAGCTAATAATCAGCATTCTCTTGGAAAATAGCTATCCTATGTTTTACATTTTCAATATAATATGGGAACGTCTGTGAGGTTATTATTAGCCAAAAATCAAACAAAATTAAAAAGTGCCTAATAAGAACTATCCTTTAACTAAAAAACATAACATTGCGAGAACTTCGCGCGAGCCATTGATTTCCTTCTGCTATATGATATAATTCGAAAAAAATGTATATACAGGGTCTACCAAAAGTGTGGAAACCCCTAAATATCTCGGAAAATATACGTTTTACAGAAAAGTGTTTCCAACAAAAGTTGTAGGGTTTAGGAAGATCTATATACTGATTCTATCAGTTTGACCTTGGATGGCGTCGTCAAGGTCAGGTCAAGGTCACATTGACTTTTTTAAATGACACCCCCTACATTTGATTGCATATTCTTATAGCTTAATTCAAGAGCTTTCCAAAACACTATAATAATGTTCATTTTTATTAAGTACTTTGCGAGTTATGAGGGTTGAATGATAGAGTAGCGCCGGTATTAACATTATCCAAGGTGTACTACATGGAGGTTACTCGCTCGGATTTGCATCTGTTGTGTGTGTGATCCAGCTAACTAAGGCAAGATCGATTCCTCAACATATCCTCATATTTCGCTGAAGTCAAATTGCCAAAAAATTGCTCCATAAAACGTGTATGAAACGTCTCGTTAGTTCCTTCATTTACCGCTATGTGACGCACTACATGCAGTCTAACTCGCATTTAAAATTCAACTAAGAATGTATAAAGCTATCAAAGAACGAGCACCTTCTAACTTCAGCTTTGAGCAAGCAGAAATTAATTGTTATCGTCCAAATACAACGTACGATTAATTAAAATTAAACGTTTTAAAAATGGTTGGCGACTTGTCGGAACGTGAAAGAATCACTATCCTCATGATGCGTGGATGGGGTGATAACGAAAGATCGTTCTCTGATGTCGTTCGATTATTTAATGACACGTATCCGAACCGTCGAATTAATAAGTCCACTGTGTTAAAAACAATAGAACGTTTTAGACAAACTGGTAGCGTAAGAAATCGCTCTAAGTCAGGAAGACCATTGTCTGCAACCAACGAAGAAAAACAACTTGATGTTCTGCAGACATTTATTGAAGATCCCAATTCTAGTGTTCAGAGAGTCGCTCAAACTCACGATATTGCTCCCATGTCGGTTTGGAGAATTTTAAAGAAGAACAAGTTCCATCCATATAAATTGCAATACGTTCAAGAATTGCAAAACGGAGATGAGGAGCGTCGTATACATTTCTGTGAAAGAATGATGGCACTAATAGATGTCCGGCCCATCTTCCCTTATCAAATTGTTTTCACAGACGAGGCAACTTTTACCTTAACGGGAGAAGTTAATAATCAAAATTTTCGTTTCTGGTCAGATGAGAATCCGAATTGGGTGCGGGAAACTCACACACAACATCCACAAAAAATAAATGTATGGTGCGGAATAATAGATGGCTATTTAATAGGGCCGTTTTTTTTTGAAGAATATTTGAACGCTCAAAGGTATGAGAGATTACTTGTTGATCAAATAATTCCAGCCATACAGAATACTTTTCCAAATAATTTCCAAGAAATATGGTTTCAGCATGATGGAGCTCCTGCTCATTTTGGTGCAGGACCACGTCGTATTTTAAATGAGACTTTTCCGCTACGGTGGATAGGAAGAAGGAACGGAAATGAGGGAGGAGAGGATTGGCCACCTCGGTCACCAGATCTAACTCCTCTTGATTATTATCTATGGGGATATCTGAAGAGTAAGGTTTACAGAACAAAACCTAAAACCATTCACGAATTGATACAGCGAATAAGGGATGAAATGGCTTTGATACCTTTTGAAACGAATCGTAAAGTCATTTCTACATTCTACCAAAGATTAGCATATTGTCAGGAAGTAAATGGCAGCCACTTTCAGCATTTACTTTAACACATTGAAACACATTTGCAATCGTTTGGTGCAACCTAACCTGATCTCTGTATACACGCACCGCACGCACGCACACGCACACATTTCGAACAATTATTATGATAAATGAGCATCCACAAATTTATTTACTGTTTACTATGTCGATTGCTTTCCAGGTCTTTAAATGCTCGATTGTAATTTGGTTGGGTCTTTGCTTTTGCTGACTGGATCCACGACCGATCTTGCCTTAGTTAGCTGGATCACACACACAACAGATGCAAATCCGAGCGAGTAACCTCCATGTAGTACACCTTGGATAATGTTAATACCGGCGCTACTCTATCATTCAACCCTCATAACTCGCAAAGTACTTAATAAAAATGAACATTATTATAGTGTTTTGGAAAGCTCTTGAATTAAGCTATAAGAATATGCAATCAAATGTAGGGGGTGTCATTTAAAAAAGTCAATGTGACCTTGACCTGACCTTGACGACGCCATCCAAGGTCAAACTGATAGAATCAGTATATAGATCTTCTTAAACCTTACAACTTTTGTTGAAAACACTTTTCTGTAAAACGTATATTTTCCGAGATATTTAGGGGTTTCCACACTTTTGGTAGACCCTGTATATATATATATATATATATATGTGTATATATATATATATATATATATATATATATACACATATATATACAGGGTGCTTCCACAACATACAGATCGGTAAGTCGGGTTGCCTATCTGACGATCGGTCTTCTTTTACCGACCTCGCATAATTGAAAAATAATAAAATCAGAGGATCGATCATGTAATTTTTTTTCATGAAAAGTGAAAAAATTCCTTGATTGATACATTGAATGCAAATCCGTAGGGAATGAGGAAAGTAAAATCAGCTTTTAACATTGATATAGTGTAATTATTAATATTTAATAACATAAATAACATTATATAAAGAAGATCTTAAAAATAAAATTCGAAAGGCGTGTGCGGAAATCACTCCTCCGATAATTCGGAGAGTAAGGAAAAATTTTATGCGGAGGATTGCTTTATGTTTAGAAGAGAATGGCGGTTACATTGAGCATATATTGTAAACATTAAAAAATAGTTTTTTGTTTAAATTTATTATATTTTATCTGTGTTATTATATTTCAATTGTGTCATTTTATGTTATTAATGTTATTTAAGTTATTTATGTTATTAAATATAATGTTATTTATGTTATTAAATATTACAATTACACTATATCAATGTTAAAAGCTGATTTCACTTTCCTCATTCCCTACGGATTTGCATTCAAGGTATCAATCAAGGAATTTTTTCACTTTTCACGAAAAAAAGTTACATGATCGATCCTCTGATTTTATTATTTTTCAATTATGCGAGGTCGGTAAAAGAAGACCTATCGTCAGATAGACAACCCGACTTACCGATCTGTATGTTGCGGAAGCACCCTGTACATATAAAATATATATACATATAAAAATGTAATTTGCAATTAACAATTCCATATTTTTTCTTAAAAACAACTGTATGTTTTCTTTACACCAATTGATTTCTCTCATTATTTTGTATATAAAAGTATTAAGGCAAGATAATCGAAAAATGAATGGTTTACTAGATATTTT